AAATAATAATAATAATAATAAAATAATAATATAAAGAAATTAAATAATCATTTAATATTTAACTTTTATTAATTTTGAATTTTCTATTAGATTATTTTTTTTTAATTTCTATAGAATTTCTTTTAAAATTTGAAAATATTTTTTTAGATATAAATTTTTTTTACAATAAATGTTTAATAAATATTTGTATAATATTTCATGTTTGTATTTCACATATTTTAAAATTTAACAATTGTTTAATATATAGTGTCTATCTAATATCAGCTATTAATATAAAATTTTTGTAATATAGCTTGAATAGTATAGATTAAATAAAAAGATTCTATTTATCTGTCAAAAAAGAGATAAGTGTTAATTAATATCGTTAGAGAGTAATATAATTTGTGACTTTTCTATATTTATTATAATAAAATCAGAATTTATCATTTACTATACATTTATTTTTAAACATTGAAATTGCCTGTTTATTTTTCGATTGTATACGCTTATTTATATATACATATAGATAATACTACACAATTATCTATTCTGGTGAATAGCTAAATTATTCTAGTAGTACTAGAGTTAGCTTTCAAACGGGGGGGTGTTCAAGTTTCTAAAATTTCTCTCAGTAATTAGTAATTCTAAAAAGTGTATATCTTGTTTTCTATAATATTTTTAATTTTTAATATATTTTAATAAGAATATAGAGTTTTATATGTTTTAGATCAAGATAATTTTATTGTCGAGGTAAAAGAATATACATACACATATATATACATACCTATGTATATATTTTAATCTTGCATTACATTCTTTAGTATAATTTCACATATTATCTTTCTAAAATTATTTGGTTCATTTTCATATGATTGTTCAGTATTTTTTTTTTTCTTTTAATATTTGCATTTATAATCATCGTTATTAATTATAATTTTTTTTATTTATCTACAAATGTTAATTTGGAAAAAATTTAAGATGATAAAAAATTCAAGTTGTTAAAGATATGAAGTTAGCGTGAGTTACATGAAATATGTATATATCCAAATATATATAATATATATATTGTATTATCTTACATGCTGATTTTATATCGTTGCACATGTGTAAAATGACATCCACCTGATGCCAATGAAAAATCGATATGTTCGAAATTTTAACGCGAAAACTTTGACTATTCTGTCAGTAGTTAATAGTAAAATCTTGAATCTGATGGATCTTGAATAGTAAGTAAACGATCATATATATCGTCAGTATATTTCTTTTGATGATTTCCAATTCAATTTCACAAAACATTGTTTGATTTTTATACATTTATAATCGCGCCATTTTTATTGTTTATTGTTATTATTACTTAATATACGTTAAACAAAATTCCAACAATTAGTTATTGTGATTATCAAATTTTGAAGATTATCTATATTCATACAATTTATATAATTTTCAATTAAAAATCTTAAACTATATTATTATAAATTTTATATATATTCTTTTATGAATATTTTTTTTATTAAAAATCAATATTATTAAAAATCTTCTATATATATTTTTTTCCATTATATTTATATTTTTAATGCTATATGTAATAGTATAATTGCAATACATAATAGTTACTGCAAGTTAAATAAATTCTATATTTTATTTTTATAATATTTCTATAATATTTCTATATATATAAGAATATTTATAAGATAGCAATAAAATTGTATAAGAATAGTAATAAAATATATAACATTGTTTGGTATTAAATTGTTATGTAACAAAAAACAAATTTTGGATGCTTTAAACGTTTTTTTACGATGAAAACATTAACAGGTTATGTAATATATAAAAATCTGTTATATGATATAAAAATTAATATTGAAATTTTATCTATTTCTTAATGATAAAAATTATAAAATTTTAATAATATTTTTTTAATTTATTTTTGTAGAGAGCATAAAATTTTTACTTTTTCATTATAAACAAGCATGAAATAGTTATCGCGTTTATCATTCCAGTGATATCAATCAAAAAAAAAATAATTACAAATTCCATAACAAATTTTGCACAAATTATAAAANAATATATAATTAATTATTAATTTAAAAAAAAATATAATCGAAATAAAAATTCAAATTTGTAATGTTTGTAAATTTCAAAGAAATATTTTTATATGTACTTGAAGTTGAAAATAAGTTGTTAGCAAATATTTATAATACATATAAATGA